TGGGAGGAGTGACCTGCAGGGCACAGATGGGGGGACACACTGTCTACTGGTTACAGCATCAGGTGGGGGTGAGTGGGAGGAAGGATGTGTGTGTGAGGACAGCTGCTGTGTGCTCAGTCACCCTTTTCCTGCTGTGCTCTCTGTCACAGGGAACTGCACCTCCCCAGTCCCTTTTGCAGCCCCCTTGCAAAGCTCCTGCAGAAGATAGGTCAGACAGGGGACAGGGAGGGCTCCATGCCCCTGCTCTGCTCACCATGCACCTCTTCAGCAGCTGTGTTCCCTCATAGTACCCTCCCTTGGTGGCACCCTGCTGGACAGCTCTAGTACCTGGAATCCCCCCCAGCAACCCTTCCTCCCGAGGTCCTTCCTGCCTCAGGTGTGGCAGTGCACCCTACTGTGGCTAAACTCAGGATTGCCTCAGTATCTCCTTAGACTGCCTCTCCCACCACCTGTTACCAATCTATAAAGTCCTCCCAAGAGCCTAGACTAGCACATCTCCCATTTAATGTGAGGGTTGATTGCCCAAGTTAGTAGGTCTGGGAGTATGAATTTCTTTCTTTTCTCCCTCTCTCTCTCTCTGTGTGTCTCTCTCTGTCTCTCTCTCTCTCTCTCTCTCCCTGTCTCTCTCTCTCTGTGTCTCTCTCTCTCTCTCTCTCTTTTGAGTTGGAGACTTACTCTGTTGCCCAGGCTGGAGTACAGTGACACACTCATGGCCACCGCAGCCTTGACCTGCTGAACTCAGGTGATCCTTCCACCTCAGCCTTCCAAGTAGCTGGAACTACAAGCACGCACCACCTCATCCAGCTAATTGTTTTATTTATTGTAGAGATGAGGTCTCGCCAAGCTGCCCATGCTGGTCTTGAACCCTTGGGCTCAGGGAATCCTCTCACCTCAGCCTCCCAAAGTACTGGGATTATAGGTGTGAGCCACTACGCCTGGCCAGGAGTATGATTTTCTAACAAGCTCCTGGTGACAGTGATGTGGCTGGTCCTGACCACACTTTGGGAAGCAAACACCAGGGAGATTGTGAATTTCCTGATGTGATGTGTCAGGTACTCTGCTGGACAGCGGGTCACAAAGGTGAACAAAACAGATCTATCTGCTTTTCAGGGAGATGTCAGATGGCAATTGCCACAAATGCCATCACTGGTGTGTGCACCAAAGGATGAACGGGAGGATGTGAACAGCTGGGTCTCTGACAATCTTGATCAGGTGGTATTTGAGCTGAGACCCAGAGCAGGGGATAGGGTATGTTTTCAGAAGCAGCACATGAGCAGAGGAGGGTGACCAGAGAGACTGTACTTTCAGTGGTCCTAGAGGTCACAAGACAGGAAGCTAGGCAAGTTCAGGGGCTTCCCTAGCAAGAGCAACTGCACCTAAACTCAATTCCCCATGCTATCAGGCCTCCCCTTCCCCCACAGCCTGAATTCAGCTTCTAATAAGGTCTCCAGGTGCAGGCAGCTTGCAGTCTCAGACACCTCAGCAGTCAGCTGGCGGCCACACCCAGACTGCCTGGCGCCTGAACTTGGCTGCCTGTCCTGCAAACAAGGCTGGTCTGGAGCATGCATTGAAAAGGGGAGAAGCAAGGGCAGGTTCCCAGGACGCTCAGGCCCATGGTGTGACAGCAGCCTGTGGCCCATGCACACAGACACCAAAAGACAACAGCATGCCTCTTCTTGCTGAGCTTTGGTGCTTTCATTTCCCTCATAAATCCCACCTTTTATCCCCACATATCAGGTGACGTAGTATCTTCCTCCACCCACCTCACCACATGAGGGCTCTGTCTGCTGAAGAGCAACAGAAGCTATTACAGGGTTAAACATAAGGTTAGCTGATGGGGATTTGTGTTTCCGAATGACTTTAGGACAGCAGCAGGAGGCATGGGCTGTAAGGGAGGACCCAAAGAAAAGGCAGGCCACAGGAAAGGAGACATGTGTGGGTATCCTAACCCTAATATCAGGGCAGGGGTTCCTGGGGCCATAAGAAATACCAGCACTGCCAGATGCAGTGGCTCATACCTGGAATCGTAGCACTATGGAAGGCCAAGGTGGGAGGAGGCCAGGAGCTTGATACCAGCCTGAACAACATATTGAGACCCCATCTTTCCAAAATAATAATAACAATACACATACATACACACATATACATATATAAAAAGAAATATCAGCACTGAGAGTTGAGGTTAGCCTACCCTCAAGACTGGCACTGGGAGAGAAGGAGATGTCCAGTCCCAACGACTAGGGAGTGGGTAGCCAGGGTGGGAGCTGTAAAGACTTTGAGGACCTTGTCCCTGCACTGAGATTTTTGGATGGTATAGGCCCACATGACTGTGGATGTGTGGTCAGGAAAGGCATCAAAAGGCTGACCCCCATCCTGAGCCAAGCCTGAGGGGGATTAGAAGTGCTTGAAGGAAGGGAACACAGCTGGGTACCTGGGAGGACAGGAATCACCTGGTCTGAAGAGAGTGATGGAAAGCCAGGGGTTCCCCTACCTCAGACTGTATCTTATAGCCAGGACAGCTTGGGCAGTGGTGGCTGTCAGGGACAGCAGGAGGCTCAGACTGCCCACACAGCTCTCCTGGCTCTGCTGGACAGTACCAGGCAGGGCTGCTGCCAGGTGGGTATAGGACACAGAGGTGGGTAGTACAAAGTCCAGGGGGGCCTTCCCCAGAAGAGTGGGAGCAAAGAGAAAGGACTGGGCCCTGAGGAGTTCTCAGTGTCACCCTCAAGGGCTACTGTGCACCAGCCATGGAGAAAGCATAGAGGATTCAATTCCTCAGGTCTTTCTTTGAGGCGTTCCTTTAAGGCCTGTGGCACCCTCGGTGTGTGGACCCTCCCCTCATCTGTCCATCTAACAAACATCTCTCCCCAACCCCCCGCCTTGCCAACCATGTCATTCGCATCCTCTCTTAATTAGCAGTTCAGATGTCAAATGGAACTTTGTGTCCAGATTTGCTCCCAACTGAGAAAAATTGTTAACACCCCGTATTCCAAAGCAAGTAGCTGGCACCTCCACTTAGCTTATGGACAGAAAACATGACCAGTCCCTCAGCCTTACACCCACCACCCCCAAGAGTGAGCCTCTGAGGCAAAGACCTGAAGTGGAAGGGGCTCAGGAGGAAATTGTCTGAGTTACGATTTGGCATCTGCTTGAAATGCACTTCCCTTTCTGAGTGAGGGTACTCCCGCCCCCAGCCCAAATCTGGGGCTCTTGGAGAACTGTTTGTAAAGATTGGGAGGAACCCCTGGAAGAGGAGCTGATATATATGCCCACTCCAGGGCTCCACAATTCTCAGCACTGTGCCTCAGGGCACGGCCCTCAAGAAGAACGTCACTGGAAGCCCAGCAAACCCCTGCCTACTCAGCTTGCCCAGTACTCAGGCCTGTGGTAGGCCTAGCCCGAGCTCAGCTTCCACCCTCTCCAGCTATGGGGCTCATTGTGTCTAGTTCCTGCTGCTTCCTCTAAGACACGGCAAGGTGAAGGCCCAGAGGTCCTCTTCACCTCTGACATCCAACCATCTTAGGCCAGACCTGCAGGCCTGGGTGAGTTTCCTGGTCTCTTCCAGTGGGGTTAAAAAAAAACTGGCAGGGTTTGGTGGCTCAGTCTGTAATCCCAGGACTTTGGGAGACTGAGGCAAGTGGATTGCCCAAGGCAGAGGGTTCGAGACCAGCCCGGGCAACTTGGTAAGACCTCGTCTCTACAATAAATCAAAAATTAGCTGGGCATGGTGGCATGTGACCATAGTTCTGGCTACTTGGAAGACTGAGGTGGAAGGCTCCCCAGAGCCCAGGAGGTCAACGCTGGTGTGGCCATGAATGTGCCACTGCACTCCAGCCTAGGCAACAGAGTGAGATTCCAACTTAAAGAAAAAAAATTCATACCTCAATTAAAAAGTTTATTATCGAACCAGGCTCGGTGGCTCAGACCGTAATCCCGTGCCTTTGGAGGCTGAGGTGAGTGGATTGTCTGAGCCCACGGATTCAAGACCCACCTGGGCAACTTGGTGAGACCTCATCTCTACAATAAATTTTTAAAAAAATCAGCCGGGCATGGTAGCGCGTGCCTGTAATTCCGGCTACTCGGAAGGCTGAGGCAGAAGGATCGCAGGAGTCCAGCAGGTCGAGGCTGCGGTGGCTGGGAGCAGCCACTGCACTCCAGTCTGGGTGGCAGAGTGAGACTCCAACTCAAAAAACAAACAAACAAAAGTTTATTATCAAAAGATAACAAAGGCCAGGTGCGGTGACTCAGGCCTATAATCCCAGCACTTTGGAAGGCTGAAGGAAGAGGATTGCTTGAACCTACGAGTTCAAGACCAGCTTCAGCAACATAGTGAAACCGTGTCCCTATAAAATAAAAATTAGCCAGGTGTGGTGGTGTGCACCTGTAGTCCCAGCTGCTTAAGCCCAGGAGGTTGAAGCTGTGGTGAACTGTGATCATGCTACTGCACTCCAGCCTAGGTGACAAAATGAGACCTCAACTTAAAAAAAAAAAGACAACAAACAAAAAACATCTTGTGATCTGATCTCACCCTGGTGATGCTACATCCTCTTAGTGTCTTCATCTGTGAAGGGAGTGACCAGTCTTGGTTCTGTGCTGGGTGGTTGTGAAGACACCATGGACCCATGGATGCCAGACATGTGGCATGGACCACTGTGGAAGGGGTGATGCTGGTGTGCACAGATTCACCTGCCCACGAACAGCCCTGGAGGTTCTTGGAGGAGCCCTGGAGGTTCCTTAATGAACTCAGGGAAGAAACAGAGCAGAGACTTGTCAGAAGAGAGGACAAAGGCTTCCTGCCCAATGTCTAACAATCCAAGCCCCCTGAAACACACACACACTCACACATACACACACACATTCATGCCACCATCATCCTATCTTCGTGGACAGACACCTAGGGACCTTTGTCTGAGGGAGCGGGAGGCATGGAGAGACTGAGCATGTGCGGCTCCCACTCTGCTATTTAAAGATGGGGACGGACCCTGCAGCTGTGAGTCACCATAATTGGGGCACTCACTTCTTTGCGCTTCACCGGACACAGAGAAGCCGCCAGCCCCAAGAGCAGCTCCAGGCTGGCTGTGCGCTAGATACAGGTGCAGGCAGCAGGCAGGCTGAGCAAGGGTGCCGAGGATGAAAGGAAGTCGGGAGACTGGGCACAACTGAAGTCCTGAGCTTCCCATACCCTTGACTTCTCTGTGGGCTCAAGCAAGGAACATCCCATCTCAGGATGAACCCTGCTTCAGGGCCAAGAGTCTCACCAAGCTCAACCCAGGAGCCCAGCTGTGTGGCCAGCCCAGCCCTACCCAGCAGATGGGACAGCTCCCAGAACAGCCTGTCCAGCCTGGGCCAGCTTCCACCCATCAGCCCCACGGTAAGCCTGACGAGCAAGCGTGGGCATGCACAGGGCCTTCCTCCCTACTTCCTGGTCCCCTCCTTGCACACAGAGGCTTTGACAGGGAGAAAGAAAGGTCTGAGCTCTGCCATGGGGCGTGGGAGCATTACTGGACCTCTCTAAGCCTGACCTCCACAAAGAGGGTGATAGAAAAGAGGGAAGCAATGTCCTCCCTTGTGAAGGGCATTCAAGGAACAGAAGGGCCAGCCCTGAGGACAAGGGGCTAGATGGCCAGACCTGTCCTTGGCTGCATCCACTGCTTTCAGAAGTTGATCGTATGCCCCACGGAGCCTTCCAGAGAGGAGGAAACACTCTGGGCGTCTGAATTTGTCTGGCCTGCAGCAAAGTGTTGGATGCCTTCTGCAGCTCCATCACCCTAGCCTAGGCCCTAGGGATTATTGAAGACACCCCTGGGAACCTAGGATGCTGGCCAAAATGGGAAGGTTCCAGTAGCTATAGGAGCCACTGGGGTTGAACAGGAACCAAGCTCCTGCTCTTCCCCAGCAAGAGGTTAGGGTGGGAGGTGTTTAAATCCCTTTGTGCTGACCTCATAGAGTCATGACCTTCCTGAGTGACCCTGGGAGGCCTAAACTTTCTTTTTAAAGGGAATTCTTCCCCCAGTCTCATGCCAAGCATTAAGTCAGCCCTACACAGTTTTGCTGTAGGGGAATGCAACTTCTCCTTTAAGACTCAGTAGGGGATAGGACTCCTAAGGAGAGGGGCTCTACTCAGATCCATCCCAGTGACTAAAGAGGCCCTGAATGTGATTGATTATCTCAGGTACTTGGGATAAGGTCCATACTGCGGGGAAGGATGCCACCAGGAGTTGGTTCAAGGGAAGATAGGATCACTCAAGTCATGTCCCTGCTTACCAGGCACATGCTTATGTCCTCTCAGCCTCCAGCAGGTGACCTGAGCCCATTCCTAGAAGTCTTATGCCCCTGAGCTGTGGTAAAAGAGTTTGGGATCAATATTCGAAGGACTGCATTCCCATTTGGCTCTGCCACTTGCTAGCTGTGTGGGCAAGTGGCTTTGCCACTCTGAGCCTCATTTTCTTCACCTGCCTTATTGGGGAACTAATTCTTCCTTCTCGGGATTATTTGAAGGTGATGGGGGATTATGTGGTTCCCTCATTTCTCTGTCTCTCCACAGGCAGCTGGGGCTTGGGCTGCAGCCTTGGTCCCCTTCCCCACGGTTGATGTTCCAGACCACGCCCACTATACCCTGGGCACAGTGATCTTGCTGGTTGGGCTCACAGGGATGCTGGGCAACCTGACAGTCATCTATACCTTCTGCAGGTGCCTGGTTGGTGGTGCTGGGCCCAGGGTGCTGAGGGTGGCAGCCATGCAGAGTTGGGACAGAACACGAGGGCAGGAATGTTGGTATCAGCTCTGGCCAGGACACCGTTGAAGCTAGCTGGGGAGGGTAGGGCCACACCTTCCATGGTCTCAAACCCAGGTTTTAATCCTCAAGTCCAGGGAAGAGGCCAACATATGGTCCAGGAAAGCTTGAATGACATGCTGATTAGGTCCCAGATGCCTTCTCTGTTGAGGGCGAATGGCTCCAGGACACTTGAGTCTCTGCCCATTCTGCTCTGTTCTCAGCTCACATCTGTCATCACCTGTCCCAGGGGAACCCTGAAGAGCAGCTCTGGGGATCAGGATCCACAAGCCCTTCAAACACTCTTGGCAACCATCCCCAGCATCCCTCCCCACCTGCCGCTCTGGAAAGCTGAATGTCTGAGAGGCAGGTGCAGAAATGAGCACAGACATTAGGGTCACATGGTTCCCTAGCTCTACCAGCTGCCAAGTTAAAGAACTGGGCACTTCATTTCTCTTCTCTGAGTCCGCTTTTCTTGTCTGCAAAATGGAATTGTAATTTACTTCATGAATTCACTATGATGATTCAGTAAGTTCACATATGTGCGTTACCCACAAATGAGTGTCCAAATCCTGGCTGTGACACTTGCTGAGTATTGTGATCTGGAGTGAGTCTCTTCATGAGTGGGAGCCTCTGGGGTGTTCTTATCTGAAAAATAGGGACAATGGAGCCTCCCTCAGGATAGAGGCAAAGATGGAAGATGACAGGAGATGAGGTTGGTGAAAGTGCCTGGCCCATGGAACACAGTCATCGGGTCCCCTCCCCTTTGCCACCCCCAAGGTGAGGGCTGCAGGATGGGAGGGTGCCTGAGGAGGAGGAAGGTGTGAGAGGCCCGCAGGAAGGCACAGTCAGGACACGCAGGAGGAACCCAGGGAGAAGCCACTAGGGAGACCTTGGTGTGGAAGGACTGGGGAAATAAAGGTTTGTCCAGGAAGTTAGTGTGAATTACGCAGAGGAATCCAGGGGGCAAGAAAGTGAAACAGCCAAGACCCAAGAACCAACTTTCACTGGGCCACACCTTTTTGGAGAGGCATTGCTCCCCGCTTCATTCTGAGGGAGCCTCCTTGGCATTCTTACTCAGCCTACACTGCTGGGTTCCACAGCTGCTCAGTGGGTTCCTGTGAGACAGCAGGATAGGTCTGTGGCCTAGCTGCTTTTGCCTGTCTGCATGCATACGTGTGCGTGTGTGTGCAGTGCCTGCGTGTGTGCACATGCGGGTGTGTGACCTGTATATGCATGCATGGTTGAGGGGTGAGGGAAGCTCCCCACAGCTCCAGAAGTGTTAACAGCTTCTGACCCTCACAGGAGCAGAGGCCTCCGGACACCTGCCAACATGTTCGTCATCAACCTCGCGGTCAGTGACTTCCTCATGTCCTTCACCCAGGCCCCTGTCTTCTTCACCAGCAGTCTCTATAAGCAGTGGCTCTTTGGGGAGACAGGTAGACACTTGGGGCTCCCTTCTGCTGAAATGAAGAGGAGGGCTTTGACAGGGGGATGTCCACAGTGGAGATTTGCCGCTCCTGGGCAGAGAGTGGGTAGCTGCTCTCAGTCCCATGAGTGAATAGGATGGGAAGATGTGGGTCTGACTCCGAGGCCTCAGTCAGATGTGGCAAGTGGACAGGGTGGAGTGTGCTCTAACCCACCTCTCCTGTGAGTTGAGGGCTGGAGCAGAGTACACTCCATCCCCAGACCCTCCTCCCAGTGACTCAGGGCAAGGAACTTACCCACAGGCTGTGAGTTCTATGCCTTCTGCGGGGCTCTCTTCGGCATCTCCTCCATGATCACCCTGACGGCCATCGCCTTGGATCGCTACCTGGTGATCACACGCCCACTGGCCACCATCGGTGTGGCATCCAAGAGGCGGGCAGCATTTGTCCTGCTTGGCGTCTGGCTCTATTCCCTGGCCTGGAGTCTGCCACCCTTCTTTGGCTGGAGTAAGTGGGCTGGTGGAGTTGGGAGAAGGGTAGACAGACTGGGAGGGGCACTATAGTGGTGGCAGATGGACTTGGATCAGTCAGCTGGCAGGGGTGCTTCAAGTCAGATAGATATTCAAGGGGCATGACTAACAGTAGAGGAAGCTGAGGTTGCCCCACCAGGGGCCACATGATCACCTGAGCAGCCCATCCCCAAATGAAGAGGGTACCTGGATGGGATGAAGTGACAGGTATGTCAGATGCTGAGTCAGACTAAGCAGGGGCCTGGGCTCTGAGGCCTCCACAGGTGAAAGGGAGAGCAGTGGGGCATCAGTCCTTCTGGGCAAGACCAGACCGCTGGCTGAAGTCTTGGTGGGCATAACTCTAGGGCTACAATGAGGTCTCTGCTCCAATCTAGCAAGAATGGACAATAGTGGGCTTTGTCAGCTGACTCCTGAGCTGGTATCTCTGCAAGACTGGCTTGGAATGCTCCATCTGTGCTCCCTAACTGCCCTGGACTTCCTCACTGTTCTGGGCAGGACTGGGGCCAGGGTCAGGGCTGTTTTTGGAACCCCAAGTCCCGCACCCAAAGCCCCTGCTGGATAAGGAGCCCAGAAGGCTGAGCGCCTGCCCCTGACTCCCAGGTGCCTATGTGCCCGAGGGGCTGCTGACGTCCTGTTCCTGGGACTACATGAGCTTCACACCGTCTGTCCGCGCCTACACCATGCTTCTCTGCTGCTTCGTGTTCTTCCTTCCCCTACTTATCATCATCTACTGCTACATCTTCATTTTCAGGGCCATCCGGGAGACAGGAAGGTAAGAGTCAAGCATGGAAGAGGGGCTAGAGAAGGGGACCAGCCTCATCTGCAGGCAACTTCTGCACCCCCACTCATATCTGCACCTGCCCACTGGAGCACTGCCAGCTCCAGGCAGTGAGCATGTCATTATGGAATGGGGTACCTAGGGAAATCTCAGAAGACTAGGTCTTCCGATGAGGGTTTTTTTTTTTTTTCTTTTTCTTTTTTTTTTTTTGAGTTGGAGTGTCACCCAGGTTGGAGTGCAATTGCATGTTTACAGCCACCGCAGCCTCGAACTGCTGGGCTCAGGCGATCCTTCCACCTCAGCCTTCCAAGTAACTGGAACTACAGGCACACACTATCACACCCAGCTAATTTTTTATTTATTGTAGAGACAAGGTCTCACAAAGTTGCCAGGGCTGGTCTTGAACCCGCGGGCTCAGGCAATCCACTTGCCTCAACCTCCCAAAGTACCGGGATTAAAGGCTGAGCCATCAAGCCCGGTCGAGGAGGGGTTATTAAGCATGGCTGAGGGTGCAGTGAGGGCACCACAGGAAGAACCACAGGGAGTCAGCTGAGGTTTGGTTTCAAGGAGAACTTTCTGGAAGTCAGGGCTGTCTGGAAGGAATTACCACCTTCAGAGTGTCCCCAAAGATGGTCCAGGTAGGCTCCCTGACAGTAGCCATGATCCTGGCACACACTGTAACCTGAATGGGGTCAGACTCAAACTGTGTGCCCTTCCTAGGGCTCTCCAGAACTTCGGAGCCTGCAAGGATGGCAGCGAGTCCCTGTGGCAGCGGCAGCGGCTACAAAGTGAGTGGAAGATGGCCAAGATCATGCTACTAGTCATCCTTCTCTTCGTGCTCTCCTGGGCCCCCTACTCTGCTGTGGCTCTGGTGGCCTTTGCAGGGTGAGTAGTGGCTAAGGGGCTGGGGCAGAGGCTGAAGGACCGTGGGAGGGGGTGGGAGCCCTGGGCCGCCTCTCCCTCACAGCCCAACTTGGACCAGCCATCCTTATACCCTAAGTCTAGCCTCAAAGCTTTATTCCCTCTCTGGGTAAAATTCCCCACACTAGGGTGGGGTGGGGCGGGGCGGGATGGGCGGGAGGCTGCCTAGTTCCTTGAGACACTAGGGCACCTGCAGGTGGTGTTCTGGGCCACCCCCAGATTTGGCCTGAGGGTCTGCCAGCCCCATTGGGAACATGTAGCACTCCCTGAGGTCTCAGTTCCCTCTGTGCCTGGGCTGTGAGCACATGACCAGGGTGCTGCCTGCCTCAAGGAATGGGTCCTCTACCTCTACCCTCTAACCCCTTGTGACTAGAGTCTGGGGACTTTGACATCTGCAGCAGCATGGATGTAGGCTAGGCTTTAGGAGCACTTTTTTTTTGAGTTGGAGTCTCACTCTGTCACCCAGGCTAGAGTCTCACTCTGTCACCCAGGCTGGAGTGAAGTGCCACGCTCACAGCCACCGCAGCCTCGACCTGCTGGGCTTAGGCAATCCTTCCGCCTCAGCCTTCCAAGTAGCTGAAACTACAGATGCATGCCGCCACACCCGGCTAATTTTTGTGATTTATTGTAGAGACAAGGTCTCACCAAGTTGTCCAGGCTGGTCTCGAACCCCTGGGCTCAGGCAATTCTCTCACCTCAGCCTCCCGAAGTGCTGGGATTACAAGGAACACTTTTGAGGCAGCGAGTGCTATTAAGCCTTAGAAGAGTTTGGGTATGGGACCTTCTCCTTGTGTAGGAATGGCCCAGTCTCCCTCAGGTCCTACTGTGAGGTTTCTCTAAAAGACCCAGGAAAGTAGTGGGCATCAGGGTTGGGGAGGGGTGTGGGAAGAGCTGGGTCTGAGGGCCAGGGTCAACTGGGGAAAGGGGAGATATTGCCAGCAGCACAGGCTCCAAGGGTTAGTGGACCTGGAACCTCCGCCTCAAATCTGGCACATCTTCCTCCCAGAGCCATGCCTTCAACTACCCCCAGCCCTCTCCCATTTGCCTCAGATCAGAATTCTTCCCAGCACTGTAGGCTCTTCCCTATGGTGCTGACTTGACTATGCTGGTTTGGGCTAGGCCAAGGTTTGGGCCTTGGCAGGGCCTGGCCCAGAGGAAGAAAGTTTGTTGGGAGGGTTAGCTGGTGTGAGGACAAACCTTCTCTCCTAGGTATGCACATGTCCTGACGCCCTACATGAACTCGGTGCCAGCTGTCATCGCCAAGGCCTCTGCCATCCATAACCCTATCATTTACGCCATCACCCACCCCAAGTACAGGTGGGACCCTCTTCCAGACCCCCAGGGCCACACCAATGGGCACAGCCAGCCTGCAGATGGGGCCGAAGCTGACACTTTTCCTGTTTCTTGTATATGTGTTGGGCGGGGTCCACTAGCAGCTGGGAGCAGCCAGGGGCACGGGGTGGGGTTTGGAGTTGGTGTGAATTCCCCCTCCTACCTCAGATTCCCAGAGGACTCAGCATGGAGGGATGTTAGGGCTCCCTGGGCAGTGTCCAATCCTAATTATGAGATCTCAGAGCCATGGGGCAGGGCGGCCAGGACAACGCTGCAAAGTCAAGCCCCTTGGATAGTGATGTCCTGGAAAGACCACAGCAGTAAGCTCTCAGCTCTGCTTCAAAGGTCCTGGCAGGGGCCCAGGCAAGTGCTGGGCCAATACTGATAGTGACCCAGTGAAGCCTCCTTTCCCTCAGTTCTTCCTTTTGCCTGGTGGTGTCAGTCATTCACCGCCCACCCACAGCCAGCTGCAGGCCTGAGCTTTCCAGCACAGAGGCTGCTCAGGAAGGTCCCTGGACCCTCTTCACAGAGGTGTGTCTTGAGCCAACCACTTGAGGGCCGGAACAGATGTCCACCGAAAAAACCTGCTACCCCAAGCTCTCCCCCAGACAGCCTACGATCCAGCATCTGTCTATCCCTCCCCACCAACCCTGTGAGCCTGTCAGTCTCCTCACTTAGGGTCTGTCTATCTGTCCTTATCACCTCTCATGGCTTCCACTGTCTGAACCTCCCCTATTTTCCACTGTCTCTCTGCCTCCCAACCTTAGTCCTGTATCAGTCTGTCCATCCATCCCCATCCCCCCTCCCTTTTCTGTCCATTCATCTCTCTACCTTAACTGATGTGTGGACCATGCAGGGTGGCCATCGCCCAGCACCTGCCCTGCCTGGGGGTGCTACTGGGTGTGTCGCGCCAGCACAGTCGCCCCTACCCCAGCTACCGCTCCACCCACCGCTCCACACTGAGCAGCCAGACCTCTGATCTCAGCTGGATCTCCGGACGGAGGCGCCAAGAGTCCCTGGGCTCTGAGACTGAGGTGGTAAGGATGTTGGTCCTCGCTGGCTCCCACTTGGTCATGCCTTCTCAACCAGCCCCGGGGCCATGGGAGGGACAGGGGCCCTGGTGGAGCTGTCTCTAAGACTCAGGAACCCTCACGATGCTGGAACACTGGCAGGAAGAGTCCCTCCTAACCCCACCCCCCATGGAGGGACAAAGCATCATCCTCCCTGACAGGCAGGGGCTGGGGCCAGAGGGGATGAGTTGGCCTGAAGGCTCTCAGTAGCACAGCCAGGGCTAAACATGGGTCTTCCAACGCCATGCTCTTTTCCCATACTGACACTCTACTTAGAGCTGCGGCCTGAAAAGATTAGCATTTCTGGCTCTGAATGGGCCTCCAGAGTGACAAAGCAAGAGTTACTTCAGAACCACTTGTTCCTCAGCACTAAGATCCCTCCTCCTGGGAGTCTTGAAGAACCCACAGGAAGGAGCACTGGCTCCGAGTTGGCATTGAGCCTCAGCTTACCACATCCTCAATGTGTGAGCTTGGGTAGGTCACTCATCCCCATTGAGCCTCCCTGCCCTCCTCTGAAAGGGCAAACGGTCAACACTCATCTCACATCCTACACCGGCCAAGCATTAATGGGTATGCCCAGGGATAGGTGCTGACCCCACAGTTGGTGCCAGCCCTCCCTGGGACCTGCAGTTGTGATCCCCCAGATGTCCCCAGGAAATCCTCCTGCACTATGGGTTCCTATCTCCCAGCCACACTTGGGCTCTTCCATCATTCTGCTTACAATACCTTCTGTTGGCCTCACCAAGAGCTACTGCTGACGAACAGGCCAGGCTTCTCTTCCTGCTGCCCCCATCCTTGGGGGTCTCGGTTGAGAGGCTGAGGGAGGAACTGTCAGGGGTCTCTCCCCTGGAACACTGTAGTGAACAATAAGGAGTAAATTGAATCTGTTAACAGAGGCCTAGACCCTCATGCAGACCACCTATCTACCCCAAAATAGAAATACCCACATGCTTAGGAAGGTGTGCATGCACACATGCACATCCTGGCACAGACACACAGTTTTCAAGGATTTGGTGACCAGCAACCATGCAAATGATGCTATGGGCCTTCCACCATGATACCTGTGGGGAAGAGGGAGGAGGGTCTGATGGGGGAGGGGGCAGGAGCCAAACTTCAGACTGTCTCTTTCACCTTACAGTCACTCTTTCACCTCCCCCAGGGCTGGACAGACATGGAGGCAGCAGCTATGTGGGGGGCTGCCCAGCAAGTGAGTGTGCGGTCTCCCTATGGTCAGGGCCTGGAGGACATAGAAACCAAGGCCTCTTCCAGACCCCAAGGACAGGAAGCCAAGACTCCAGGGAAGGTGATTGGGCCCGGCACCTGCCAATCTGCAAAGGGTGGGAAATAGTGCAAGTAGCCCAGGGAGTGACCTGGAAAGTGGGACTCATTCTCATGGTCAGGCCCGACACCCTCTGGGAATCACCCCCTTCCTGTACCCCCAGCTTTCCCTTTGTCTGCCTGAGGATTTCAGTGACTCCAAGATGCTCTGAGCAGACCCTGTGTGTGGTCTGTGACTGCTCTTGGGTATGTCTATGTGTAACTGTTCAACTCTGACTATGCACACCTGTAGCATGTAGTACTGTTGGCTGTGCTGTGACATGGCAGGTGCACAGCATGTGTGTATATGTGTGTCCACGAGGGTATGCGGTGTGCAGCTGGCAGAGCACGGTTTGTGCATGTGTGTGACCATGTGCCCAGCACACATTCTCTGTTACTGTGACACCCCAGGACACATGACCAAGTATGCCCCAATGTGTCTCCTCTAAGCTGTGCATGTGATCCAGTGTGGCTGGGTGTGTACCTCTCTGTGTGAATGTGAAGTTGAACATACCAGGGGAGGAAGGGGCTTCAAGCTGAATGTATGCTCACAGTGAATGCCCTAAGATCAGGATGTCACCAAAATACTTGTAGCTATTAAAAGAAGGCCAGCTGTCAGCCCAAGTGCCTATGGAACGGAATGTAGATGGCGATCAGAGAAGGCCATATTCTGGAACGTTGGAAATGCCATGTGCACAGGCAGCCCTTCTTCAGCTGACAGCTTCTACCCTGCCCCATCTCAACACCCACAGGGTGCCTTCTGGGCTCTCTTGGGCTTCCCCAGCCAGCCCAAGACCAAAGTCACATTCCTGCCTTCCTTCCCGAATACTGCTCCCCTGTGTGTCTAAGAGAGGGGAGTCCTGGGTTGTCTTTGCAGTTGGGGAGACTCTGTCTCCCCCAGCATTCTCCTTCAGAGGGCACCATTCCCTGTCTCGGAGCCCAAGCACCATGCATGGCCACAGAAGCCAGAATATAGGCCCAGTAGTGACCCCCACGGTGGCCAGGCAATGATGAAAGACATAATCAGTGTCTTGGAGGGACACTGGGCTGGGGTGGGACGCCAGGCAGGAAGAACCAGCCATCAGCAATCACCAAACACCTGTGATAAGCACCGCCAATGGCGTGTGAGCACGCAGGGTACTGAAGCAGAGGCAAGTCCTTGTGGCTCCCCAGGGAAGGTAGAAACGAAGTAGGGCTCTCCAGGCAGCAGGGGGTGGGGGTGGAGAGTACTGAGCTGTTCAGAATAAGGAAACTGCCTGTGCAAATGCAGGGATCACAGGGGAGGGAGAGAGTTCAGCATGTCCTGGAACAGGCTGTCTCTCTGTGACCCAGGAGTAGTAAAAGGGACCCTGAGGATAGGCAGTGGGGGACATGGGAGAAGGGAAGGGGGTAGAAGGTGGCAGTAGTGGTGGAGAGGCCCCATTAGGGACTGATCTGATGCATCTCCAGATCTGACCTGGGGACAGGGAGCCCTGGGAGTAGGTTGGTCAGTCATGTAGGGTGAAGACCAGGGGAGGCCAGCACTGCAGGGCAGCAAGGCATGACTCATCTAAAGGCAGCAGGGGTGAGAGGAGACACCAGAGTCCATGCACATGCAGGAGGGGAGAGGGAAGAATTGAATAGAGGATGAGGACGAACTCCATCCGGACTTTGGGAGTCCAAGAGCCTAGGGACAGACCAGGAGATGTTCTGCAGGGAGCCTTAGGCATTGTCAGGTCCTGCTCCAAAATGTGATCTTGGGGAAGACTCATCCCTGACCCAGGACACAATCTGTCCTCGCCTCTTGGTGACCTGATATGTGGTGCGTCATCGGGAGACTGCCCCCAGGGGCATGCTGCTCAGGCTAAACAGATATGTGCTGTTTGTTTGCAGACCAAGGGGCTGCTCCCCAGCCTGGATCCCAGGATGTAGGACGCCCACTGGCTCTCGCTTCCTTCTGGAACATGTCCAGCCCCTCACATCTCCTTCACATACACAGACCCAGGATTACCCTGTGAGCCTGCAGGCTTTGGAAGTAGCCCTATCACCCGTTCTGTACGGTTTCGTGACCCCAGTGCCACATCCCCTCCCTGCACCACAAAACTCCTGCCTGCATTGTGCTCTGCACCCACTTCTCAGCTCAGCAGCCACACCTCAGGCTCAATCTGAAGGGTATGGGCCCAGGCACTCACTCTTCCAGAGTCGTCTGCCTCTCCTCAAATGCTGTATGCTGTGATTGTCCAGGTGATGACAATGGTGATGGCTCTGGGGGACACACCAGTTATTTATGAGCAAGGCATCTCGGCCAACTTCTGCACCCAGGAAGGGCCTGTCACTGGCACGGGGAGGCCAGCCATGTGTTTCCCACTGCCAAGAGCTGAAGCCCAGCACAGAGCTCACTTTGCTCACTGAAAACAGTTGCTCACCTCTGGGTCCTTCCCCCGGCGAACCACTCTCACTGCAGCCCACATGCTTATGCACATAGGCATCTGTAGACACACTCTCCCATAGGTACCTATGTGTATGCACACCAAGCACATGCGTGCACCCTCTGTACCTGTGGTTTGTTTCATATCAGTGGTCTAAGTACATCCCCGGGCTGTGTGCCTCTGACGAAGTATAGGAAAATAAAAAGCAGAGGTCTTCTTGAACAATCATGGTCTCTATGTTGGTGCTGTGATGGAAGAGAGAACCAGGACCTGACCTGTGATACCTCCAGCAACTTTGCTTCCCCCTCTCTTGGGTCTATTACACTGAAGGCCCATCTCAAACTGCAGGGGACATAGAGAAGGAAGGACAAAGCCAGGCTGGACTCCAACTCCACTTCCCAATGAGCCGCTGAGCTCCATCCAGCCTGTGGGTACCAGCTGCTCTCTGACTGGCTTCAGGTCTCCCAGGGGAGGCAGATGGAGGGAGGCCGGGCTTTCCCTTTCTGAGAATCCTCCCAATACCCCTCCCTTTCCCCAGAAGCAACCACCAGGCAGGGACCAGAGTCGAGAGAAAGAGCCTGCAGCACCAGGTACAGCCTCACCCAGCTCCTCCTCCCCAAGCAGGGTTGACACCTTCCTTCCTTCACACTGATCATGCCCTACTGCTGGGTCCTCCCCAGCCTGGCAGAATGGATACCCCTAGGAAAGGACTAGAGTTAGAAATGGGACCTTGCAGGGAAGGGCAGAGAATGGTATGGGGGAGGGAATGGATGGGGGTGCTGGCCATGAGCTGGTGGCCTCCTGGGCCAGGCCAGGATGGGAGGACGGACTGGGCTTTGTGATTCGGGGTGGAGGAGGTGGTGAAGTGGGAGAAAGAACATAGGTCCCTCCCTGGCTTCTTCCACTTGATATTTTTGTGACCTTGGGCAAGTTACCAAACAACCCTGCAACACATGCTCTCTGGCCATGAGCCTTGCATATGCCTGGTCCTGGGTACAAGGCTGGAGGGCCTGCAGTTGGGAAATTACTCACACCCGGGCCTGCACCAACTCCCCAGGGCCCAGCCCCAAGTCCTCCAAGAGGGCCAGCAAGCAACCAACTCTGTTGCCTTCCCTGAGCCTCGGTATCCCCAGTCGGGGAGCTAGGGTGGACCTTGATTCATCATCAGACTGGACTACATGGGGCCTGAGGTCTTTTTTAGGGAAGGGCTTGGCCCATAGACCGCACTAGCAAGAGTCTAAGGGTCCATGGCCCCCACCCAGAACACATCTCTGGGGTATGAGTTGAACATGCCACACACACTTCCCCCTCCCTGCCCCTTCTGGCCCTGTGTTCTAGCAGCTGAGCAAATGGCATCTCCTCCCCTCCTCCCTGCTCCCTGCCATTCCTGTGCAAAGGGCACGGGGGCCTGGCGTGCGGCACTGGCAGCTGGAGCTTTCCATGCTGCTGTCAAGTTTTCCAAAGCACAAATGAGACAGGAGAACCAGGAATAACTGGATGGGCCCCCAGGGGATCTGGAGGGGCTGGACCTGCCCCAAATCTGCCTTCAGGTCCTGCGCCAAGGGGTACAGGCAGGGGCCCAGCCAGGGCTTTGGGAGGTGACCGAGGCCACCAGGAAACCATTATCTGGCCTGAGTCTCACGGAAATGAATCTTGGCTCCAGTGTGGTCTGGGTCCACCCCCTGTGTGACCTTGGAGAAGTCATGTAATCTCCCTGAGCCTCTTCTCCTGCAGGCCAAGGTGGCAGCCTCTCAGGACCCAAGGGAATGATGATGGGAAGGGCCCCATGCTGAGCTTGGCCATTCCCAGAGCCCCTGCTATTTTCATGATCATGCTTATGGCTGGATTGCTTTGGGCCAATTCCAGAGCAGCAGGAGGCTCAGCTCAGCCCTAGGCACCTCCAGGGCCCCACACTGGATAAGGCACAACCTCAGAGCCCTGGGCAGGCACCATAGGGTAGCAAAGTCCAGCCCAAGAGAGCTCAGCCCATGATCTTCTGGACAAGAGGATAGGTATCACGGAGCAGAAAGAGCAGGCGTTTGGGCTCTCCAGAGGACAGAGGGGAGCAAAAAGACCAGGGCATTATCACTAACCTGGCCAGTCCCTGCTTCCTGTCCCCTGGGGTGTGCTGGGTGCTGGGCACTCCTCCCTAGGGGCTATATTAGCCATGTGAGTCACGGTGGACCGGCTAGGAGGCCATAGGCGGGCGGGCACAGTATAGGGTTACAGTCCATTTATGGGCGCAGGCGAGGGCAGATATCTGTGTCGATGGCATTCGCTCCCAGCTATTCTTAGGAGCCTCTCAGGAGCTCCACACAGCCTGGCCAGACAGCAAGGGACACAGAAGGCAAGACTGGGGGTTGGGGGCAGGGGCAGAGGTGTGGACTGGGGAGGCAGGGTGCATGAGTGCTCTCTCACTCGGCTCTTTCTACCCTTTGTCCGCAGAGGCAGCCGCTGTCAGCACCAACATGTCTTACAGTGTGACCCTGACTGGGCCAGGGCCCTGGGGCTTCCGTCTGCAGGGGGGCAAGGATTTCAACATGCCCCTCACTATCTCCCGGGTGAGTGCACACCACCCACAGCCTGCCACCCAAGGGAGCCAGGCACACTCAGAGGAGGGCGGGCATGCGGGCGCGCGAGCGTGTGTGTGTGTGTGTGTGTGTGTGTGTGTGTGTGTGTGTGTGTGTGTTGTCTGTCTGTCTGTCCTCCTGAAGGCTCTCTGAGAGCACGCCCCACCCCTGTATGGACTGGTCCCCTGGTCTCAGCTGCAGTTGTTTGCTTACCCAGTCCACTGGCCTGTTATGAATTTAAGGCATCACCAGCAGGCAATAGGTGTTTGGAACAGAGAAGGAAATGCTGGGTTTTGGGGACAGGCAGGCAGGTAGACAGAGAATACAGTGCCTTCCTAATTCCTTCCCTGGCAGGGTGGGCTCAGGGTGGGTAGCTGCTCTGGGAAGAGAGCATTTCCAGCATGGAGAAGGCAAGTGATGGGTGAGCAGATAGATGGATAGATGGATAGACAGACCACTGACCCTGGCTGCCCTGCTGTCATGGCATGGGGCTGGACTGGACTGGTTATTAGACTCTAGTACCCATTCCCTACTAGACCTGAGATACCTACCCCCTTCCTTGATCAAAGGACCTTACACTGACTGGCTCCTAGGGCTGGGCCTTCCTCCCTCAGACGCCCGAGCTCCTCCTCATTCACCATGGCTGCTTTGCATGCCTGTCCATTTCATGCCTTGTTCCCCGAATGCACACCTGGGGAGATGGCCCCTGTGTCCTGCAGTGTCTATGATCAGGGAACTGCATTGCCTTATGGGATGACACAGAATATCAGGGGTTGTCTGAGTGACTCTACTGCCTAGCTGGAGACAGTGATGCCCAGAGAGGCAGGAAATGAGACATGCAACAAAGGAAGCTCTCTAGGAGCAGGGAATTTGTTTCAGCCACTGCTATGGTCCCAGTACCCAGACTACAGAAGGTGCTCAGTCGGTATTTGCCAAATAGACTCTAGCAAGTCACTGGCAGAGCTGGGGCTGAAAACCCCAAGGCTCAGGGTGGACTTCAAGGCACACAAGAGGCAAGGACAACACCTGACTGGTGGCTGAGACCAGTGCTGGTCTGGGCACGAGGGGGCACAGTGAGGCCCCTAGGCTGTCACTGGAGGGTGGTGGGTGGGCAGGGGTTTGTGGTTACGGCCCACCGGGGAAGCAAAAGGACAGTTTCTTCTCCAGGCAGCAGAGACTTGCCTTGGGCCTGACGGTAAGAAGGAGGAGCAGCGGGGTACTGAGGTGGACATCCAGGCAAGGCCTGAGGGTGCTAGGCAGAGGGTCAGGGGCCAGTGTCCCCACTGGAGGAATAACCTCTGTTTTGGAACCTGGGTTTCCAAGGGTACTTGGGAGGACCCCATAGAAGCCCCACCCAGGGATGACATGTGGGTGCCGATCTGGCCCAGGGAACAGGCCTTGCCCTCTCTCCTTCAGCTGGAGATGTGGCTTATTCTAACCTAGAGTCTCCGCGCCTCTAGACCTGTTGCCCTGAGGACCATAGATCCCATACTAAAAGGAAACCCAGAGCCTTGCACAACTTGCTTGATGATGTGGTGACATGTGGGCATGTGAGCCCCAGTGGATACCCCCCACCCTTGACCCTGCACAGTCCCCCACCCCTGTGGTTGCTGGTCTCCTCCCTGTACAAGGTAGGGACTCCACCTTCACTCTCATGGGTCTTCCAGCCTCCCATGTGTGGAACAGAGCCCACATTTCCCCCGTCCCACCATGCCCGAAGCCTCCTGTTGGTGCTCCCTGCCCCATCCCTGCATATACAAATTAGCCACTGGGCTCAGTGACACTCAGGATAGCCCATGACCTCATCCAGGGTCTATGTGCCACCTGGTCCCAGGCGACCAGGGGCTTAAATGGCACCACAGAGGCCTTAAGCTAGATAGCAAGAGGAATGTCCTTACTGCGGGGAGGGGGTGTGTTGGCATGTACTGGATCCAGTGACTGGGGGGACTTTTAAAAATAGAACCCAAAGCTCTGGCAAGACATTGGGGGATGGGCATAATGGCCTCTCAGCTTCCTTCAGGGGCACGCCCCAAATCACCTAAGCCAGAGGGGGTGGGTTGGACCCAGTGCTGGAGCCTCCCAAAGACTTGGAACCCCTTGGCAAATTCCACTGGTGAGCCACTGATATACTGGGCTTGGGCGTCCCAGACTCAGAGCTACTGGCTAGGTGGGCCCTGTGGAAATACAGTCCTGCTATCCTACCAGGGCTGTGGTATTTCCTGCTGGGGATAGCAAGTCCCTTCTGCACCTGGAACATCCCCTCAAAGGAAGTCAGGACCAGAGGACTCTGGAGAAACCCTGCTCCCACCCCCAACCATGACTTCCCACAAAGGGCCGTGGGAGGCTGCTCGGGTGTCCCGGCCTGAGCCTTTACCACAGGGCTCCAGAGGCAGTACTGTGATAGAGGATTAGCAAGGGCAGAGCCCCAGCAGAGTCCTGAACCCCCTGGGCACATTCACTACCATCCTGAGAGGGAGGTCAGGCAGGTGCACCTGGGATCATCGCATCACTTCAGAGCCTGGCACACTGAGAGTCCAATTTGCTCATGGGAAAGAGATGACGACAGGTGGAACTCCTGTGCCCTGGGCGCCCCTAACTTCCGTGCCAACCGGTAGAAAGGCACAGAGTGGGTGGGACCTGTCCCCTCTGCACTGCAGGTGTGTGCTGTAAGAACCCAGGCCACCTGCAGGGTAGGTGGTGTCAGTCCCTCCAAGCCTCCTTTTGATGGGTCTCAGCTTGAGGTCCCATAGAAAAGGGGTTCAGGAGGGAGACTGGGTGGAGGGTGGAGGGGAAATGCCTTTATTTATCCTGGACAGGTGTGACTGGGCCGGCAACATGAGCTGCCCTCTCACCCCCACCCTCCCCTGCCCCAGCCAGTTCTCCAGGAAGTGGGGAGGGGTGGGAGCAGCCATAGAGGGAGTAGCAACTAGGGCCCAGCCCCCACCCCTGCCCCAGCAGCTGGCCAGAGGCTGGGACCATGGTCTAGGGTGAGGTCTTGCCTCTACACACCTATTAGGCCTCTGGCTTTATGGAAGAGGCATATGCTTTTGCTAGGCCCTGCTGTTCTCAGTTGTGTCACCTTAGAAAAGTCAGCTTACGTGCCTTTGGGAGGCTAAGGTGAGAGGATTGCCTGAGCCCGTGGGTTCGAGACCCGCCTGGGCAACTTGGCGAGATCTCATCTCCACAATAAATCAAAAAATTAGCCGGGCGTGGTAGCGCGCGCCTGTAGTTCCAGCTACCTGGAAGGCTGAGGTGGAAGGATTGCCAGAGCCCAGCAGGTCGAGGCTGCGGTGGCCGGGAACGGCCTCTGCACTCCAGTCTGGGCGACGGAGTGAGACTCCAACTCAAAAAAAAAAAAAAGTCAACTTAACCTCAGTTTTCTCACCTTTAAAATGGGAATGGTACCATTCACGTGTATGAGCATGCTTTCTAACAGGCATTTATGATAATACTTACCACCCGTTGTCCATTAGGGCTGGTTGTGAGGTTGGGGGAGTGGTGGGGTAGAGCCTGGGCCCAGGCAGGGCTTGGCTGTCTGCTGGAGGGCATCTATCCCTAGGGCCTCACCCACCTTGCCTGGCAGGCTCTCCTGGGGCACCAGCCCAGAGGCCTCTCCTCTTTTGCAACTGGAAGAACCGTTTCAGTTCCAGTGTTTATTGGACTCCCCCAGCTACAGTGGAGACGTGCTGAAGACAGAGGGTCTCCAGGGAGGGGGAGAGGGCAGGCCAAGACTATTCTAGGGTAGCTGTGCCGTCAATTCCTGGAATTTGAGGCCACTGGAGTACGTTGTGCTGTTTCTTGGGCAGCGCTTAGCAGTGCTGACAGGCTGTGCTGTTTATAGCTGCTCTGAAGGTCAGGCAAGCCTCGGAGGGTTTCTGTGGGGCTGGCCGGGGCCTCCCCTCAACATCTATCTATCAACAGGGGAAGATAAGCAGGCAGCGGCTCACAGCTGGGGAATACATTCTTAGAGGTCCCAGGGCCGGGCCCTCCCTGCCACTCAGAGCTGTCTCTGATCTATTCAGTGCATATCTGCTCTGAAGGGAACAGACATGAGGCTGGCTGCGCCCTGGGAAGTGACCTGGACCCCCGGAGACTCCTGGGCCAGGACACTGGGCAAAGGCAATTGCATGGGCGGCCCCAGAGCTCCCTGGGCTAAAGGCATATGCAACAGCCTCAGTGTGGAGAAGACAGGGCTCTTTGAGGAATGCTGGGCCAGGCGCTGCTGGGATAGCTCTCCAGCCCGGGAGATGGCTCCCTAGTTTCCTGAGTCTCCTTCCCTCTCTACATGGTCCCCTCTCATCTAGACACCGCTCTTGATTGCAAAGGCCCTCTAGCCCCCACAGTCAACCCTCCAATCCCCAAAAGCAGTTTCTCCACCCATTTGGAGCCAGGCTTCACCTCTGCCCAGGAACCATCCTACAACACAATAAAGTAGGCCTGGCTAGGGCGTCCCCTGAGAGCCATTGCCCACGAGGGCATTTTACTGACCACACCCAAGACACAGATGGAACTGTGGGCCTGGACAAGAGAAGGACACTCAGAAAGCCAGGGGGAGTGTGGTCAGCTAGAGAGGGGAGCAGCCACCCCTGGCTTTGGACACAAGGAGGTCATTGGTAAGTGTGGAGCGGTGGGAACCAAAAGGAGATGACTGAGTGTGAGAAGGGTGGGAGACAGTAAGGGCAGGACATGCAGGTCACTTAGAAAGCAGACACAACAGGAACCAGCTGGAGCCACCAAGGCAGGGAAAGGCTTTTTGAACATAGAAGAGACTCTGGCTTATTTATTGGCTAGGGTGGCGCTGAGGAGTGGGGCCATGGGGAGATGGAAGGTTCCAGTGAGAGGGTGAGGGACCGGGCAAGGCTCCAGGGGAGGCCAGATGGGAAGGGAGCGAGCCCAGTAACACAGTAATTTAATCGTACAATGTGAAAATGCACTTAGGACTCCCCCAGGGTGGTCAGCTTGGAGGGCCGGGAGAAGGAGCAGCTGGAGGTTGCTCCCTTCATCAGCATCCACACTACCTGCCCCCCACCCACCCACTCACACCACCAGCCTGTACTGACAGATCTAGAAGGCAAGGAAGGCAGAGGCCTCTCTGGTTTTGAGCACCAGGAGTGAGCGCCGGGAACTTCTGCAGAATTCAGCTGCCCTCTTTGCTGCCAGGGAACAGGGGAAATAGGAGCCGACAACATGGGTGTGCCTGGTGCCCCAACTGGCGCCTTGTTTCTTGGGACCCTGGACAGAACTTTTCTCCCCTACTTCCTGATACCCAGGCCCCTCTAGGGATAGCAGGCTGGTTCAGGACTGGTCTGTCAGGACTAGCCCCTTACACCTCACCCTACCACCAGCTCCGGTTTTTGTTTCCTATAGAGCCCCGGGATGTGGCCTGCAGTCTCAGCACCTCCTGGGGGTAGAGGACAGGGTCAGCACTTATGCTTCCTTGGTTCAGAGCTTCCCTAATACTTTCTTCACCCCGTACCCTCCTTGTACAAAACCTTATTTAACAATGTAATTCTTTTTTTTTTTTTTTGAGTTGGAGTCTCACTCTGTCGCCCAGACGAGTGCAGTGG